TTGGTGATATTACGTCTCCTTATCTCACTCCTCTCTAAATGGGGATGGGATTTGTATTTTCGTCTAGTTGTACTATCATAGTTGCATTTTCATATATATTATGTATTAGTTGCCTATATCTCGAGTATATTCTACAATTATTAATAGCTTGATCTATGGCCCACATCTCGATACTATCAAACGCCTTTTCATAGTCGACGAACTCAAGAAATACAGGTAGTTGGTATTCATTTGCCTTCTCTATCAATGTTCTCATTGTCAGCAGATGGTCTGATGTACTATATCCTTTGCGGAAGCCAGCCTGTTCAACCGGTTGGTAATTATCCATTTTGTAGGTTAACCGGTTATTATTAATTCTCATAAATAGTTTGTATACTTGACTGAGCAACGATATAGGTCTGTAGATCACATTTGTCCCCTTTTTTGTGTAGGAGTATTACTAGACTCTCGTTCCAGTCTTTAGGGATCTGGCTATTATAGAGACATCTATTAAATAGCTGTTAGTAAAGGGGTTGTTAATGGCTTGCTTCTTTTCAAGAGCTCGGCAATTATACCGTCGTGTCCTGGAGCTTTATTATTTTTTAGTTCTTTTAAAGCTCTTTCTATTTCGTGTCCCTTTATATTTGGTAGTACTTCTTATCCCACGTTTTTTATTTTTCTTTTGACGTTCTCCTTTGTTGTTTTATTAGGCTGGCCTTGCGAGCTGTACAAGGTTCTGTAGAAGTCTTCGACAATATTTATTATTTTATATTTGTCCTTCTCTACCTTATTGTTAGCGTCTTTATTTTGATGATTTTTTGAACTCCCAGTGCGGGTCTTAGACATTTTAAGCCTCTGTTGTTTTCAATGACTCGCTCTATTAAGTTCTCGTTCCATTTTTGTATGTCGCGTTTTAGTTATTTTCTAATTGTTTTATTAAGTTCTCTATATTCTTGAGTATGTCGTTTGTTTTGCGCTAGTAGTTGTCTTCTTTCCGTCATTAGCGGTTTAGTTTCATTGCTTATTTTGTCTTCTTTAGTCCTTGTTTTCTTTGCGACATGTAGTCCTGCTGCGAGAAGGTTTTTATTTAGGTTTTTATCTGAAGAATCAGATTCGAACTTATCCGCTAAGACCTCTCGGAATTGCTCTTCATTTGTTCTTAGTTTAAAGGCATCCATCCTCGTTGTTTTTTTAAAAATCCTTTTTCTCTCTTCTTTCGTTTAAATATTTATTTTTGCTCTGACTATACGATGGTCACTGTCCGTTGTTACGTTGTTTATTGTTGTGACGTCTTCAAATATTCCTTTGTTGTTTGAGAGAAAATAGTCTATTTCATTTTTGGTAGTTCTGTTAGGTGCGACCCATGTCCACTTTCTGTTAGGTTTCTTTTTGTAGAAGGTATTCATAACATACATGTTTTCTTGTTCCAGGAATTCCATGAGTTTTTCTCCATTTGTGTTTTTTGTGCCGAATCCAAAGTTTCCAGTCTTGCTTTCAGAGTCTTCAATCTTACTTCCAATTTTCGCGTTAAAGTCTCCCATTATTATTATTTTGGATTCTTTGTTGTTGTCTATAGTTTTTTTAACGTCTTCGTAAAAATAATTTATTTCCTTATCAGTTGCTTTTTCAGTTGGAGCATAAACTTGCACGATCTTTATTTTAGCTTTTGGACTTAGTTTTAAGACCATGTATGTAACCCTGTCTGATATGCTGTCAATTATTTGAATTTGAGATTTTCTCTTCTATTTGATTAAGAAACCTACTCCACCGTATAAGTAGTCTTCCCTGCCTTTATAATAGAGTCTGTTGCCTGAATGTAAGTCCACATATCCTTCACCTCTTCTTTTAACTTCTGACAGTCCCATTATGTCCCAATTCAAGTTCCCCAATTCCTCTTCTAGTTTGTAGAGTTTTTAGTCTTTTGCCATGGAGCGGATGTTGTATGTTGCTATATGGAGTTGTTTGTTCTTCTTCTTTTTCAATGTCGACTTGCCCACGCCCCCCCAGAATCCTCGGGGCAGACCATTGTTACGGTGTGGGACTGTGGAATAGAATTCCTACCCACCTGGGGTACCTTCCGTGTTTCTGTTGCAATCGACATGTTTGGTTTTGGAGGTTTTGGCCATAACCCACCACACTGGCCAGACGGGTTGGTGGGGTAAATTACTATAAGTCTTCTAAAATAGCATAAGCTATTTTTTAAGTTTCAAGTATCTCATACTTAAATAACAATAAATATTTAACTATTTTATGTATGATTTTGATGTCAATGCATTAAAAAATAATTTATTTTTCAACCTAATATTTGTAGGTCCTTCTTTATTATCAACTTCAGCCTGTAGTCGTCTAGGCATTGATTTGACTAACTTTCTAGTGAACTTTGGGAAAATTGTATCCCAAGCATCAGTCATTTTTACTTTTAATTTATTTCTGTTTCTTTAATGTCTGCCACAAATGTTTAGTAACATTTATATCTGGTGACAGAGTTGGTATTTTAATGACATTTCGGCAACTATAAAGGAACCAATTATGAACCCGATATGACTTATGGTTTAGATCGTTGTCCTGACAAAACTGGTCATTGTTATTGATACCTAATTTTTGAGCAATAACGGCGAGATGCTGCCTTATTATATCCAAATTCATGTATTGGTTCATATTCCCTTCAATAAAATACATGTTAGCTACTCCTCCAGAAGACATACAACCCCATTTCATCACTCTACCCGCACCGTGCTTTACCGTAGCTTTTATATTTTTTAATTTTATTTTATGAGAATTATATTTTTAACTTTATTACTTAGACTACAATCCATATACTTGGAATTTACATCTAAGATGCAACGAAAACAAAAATGAAAAGCGAAGATTGTTTCCTACGACAGCAGAACAATTGGTGTTGCCTCAAATTTGGAGAATAATATCAAGGAGACTACTATGGAAAACAAAACATAGTATTGAAAAATGCTCACAGGAAGTTTAATCACACAATAAAAAGCAAAAACTAGAAAAACCTCCAGTCAACAAGGAAAAAGTGTGCCCAACAAAAAAGTACTGGAAATAAAAACAAATTTGTGAAATATGTAGTAGAAATGTGTGCAACGATCACTGTATAGTTAAAAAAGTGTGTAAGTATTGCAATAAAGAAAAATAAATGACTGATCTATGGTTTTTTTGTTTTTGTTAACCTAATCCTTAATAATAATTTAATTTGTCATACCAATTTGCTATTCTAGTTGAGAATAAGCCAAGCTTGTGAGTTAGTCCCAACTAAAATAGTAAATTGTTATGACAAAGAGTTAATTTGTAAAAGTAAAATAATAATATTCTTCTGCTTATGCGTTTTATTCATTTTATAAGGATTGTTTTTGTCGGTACTTTATACATGAGCAGCTAATTATCATAGTCTTTTCTCAGAAGGGTTTTCACCTAATATTGAAAAGCAACAACAACGTAAACTTTTTCCAGGGTATGCGTAAACATCAATCCCTCTTTTCAAATAAAATAGCTTGGTAGATTTACAAAAGTGTTTATTTATTTCAAAGCACGTGGTGTTCGTGTGTATTAAGGTATAAAAAAAAGCGCTTATTAAAAGCTTAAAATTTTTTTTATTATAAAGAAGATCTTTTCGGAATTGTATCATTCCATCATCAGTTTACTAAAAGAGAGAGTAAAAATACCAATATTAAAAACAAGAAAGTTAAAATTTGAATATACAAAAAGACAAAGTTGGTTTTTTACTACTTATATAAAAAGTTGTTAAAAAAACATTGTGTGGCCACATAACAAACATTCGATGGACATCTGGATTTAAAAAATAATCTTGTAGTTAGACCCCCTGTAGTTGGTCATATAAGATGCCCCCAGTTTCATTTTTTAATATTACAAAATTCAAGAGTCTATTGCATTTACCTGAATAAATGACATAAAGATTATTTTTTAAATCCAGATGTCCATCGAATGTTTTTTATGTGGCCACACAATGTTTTTTAACAACTTTTTATGTAAGTAGTAAAAAACCAACTTTGTATTTTTGTATATTCAAATTTTAACTTTCTTGTTTTTAACATTGGTATTTTTACTCTCTCTTTTAGTAAACTGATGATGGAATGATACAATTCCGAAAAGATCTTCTTTATAATAAAAAAAATGTTAAGCTTTTAATAAGCGCTTTTTTTATACCTTAATACACACGAACACCACGTGCTTTGTATTCAACAGGTATACTAGCCACTCCTGGATATCTCCACTTCATGGTTTGTTCCAGTTTCACTTTTAAAAGTTTATTTATTTATTAATTAAATTTTATAAATATATGGGTAAATGTGAATAGTACAGTCAAGAACAGTGGTGGGCCCAACGGCCCCGGTTAGCCCGTTTACTTAAGTAAAATGTGTTGCCCGGATAAAGCGTAAATATAAAAATATTAGAATAAAATACAAAGTTGATAAGTATTTTGAAATTTAATAAGTCAATGTAGTATGTTGTCAAATCCCACTCCAATGCTTTTTCACACTGCTTATGATTAAATCTAAAGGTAAATTGGTGCATAGAGATGTTAAAACAAAACTACCTAAAACATAATTTGGTGGTAATCGAAAATTATTAATATAAAAACTAAAGTCAAATGAATCTTTAATGTACATGTCATCCAAAAATCTTTATGTATTTTATGTAGATAGATAGATAATAACGTAGAGCAATAGAATTATTACCCTAAAAAATATCTCGCCGATATTCACTCTGGATCCAATCACTTATGAATGTGAATGACTTGTACATATCCTTCTTACATTTTATCTCTGCAGCAGAAGAAAACTCTGTAGTAACTATCACAAACATTTTGTATTTTTCCTTTTCACCTGCATTGCATAAAAATAAACTGTAATTCTGATATTTCTGGTTCTTCAGTTTTCCTCTGATAATTACTTTTCCCATATTTTTATAAGTATACTAGTAAAATATGTTATAAACATAAAAATTTGATATTTTCATTTTATTTAATTCTTAAAGCTTTTTAGGTCTTCAGGGAATTCCTCTCGACGCGGGAGAAAACCGTTCGTTGCCATTACATACCAGTACGATACCCGAACGACTTAAAGAACTAGGATATAGTACCCATTTAGTTGGCAAATGGCATTTAGGAGCTGCTTGTGAAGAGGTCACTCCAACTAGAAGAGGTTTTGATTCTCATTTTGGATACTGGAGCGGTTTTGTCGGATATTTTAATCATGAACTTAGTGTACCTAATCCTCTCAATAAAAGTGAAGTAAGTAAAACAGATTATAAATATGAATATATTATTATTATTTTATTCGGTGGTCGTCATTCAGTCCTCTGACGACCACGGACTAGATGGATGGATGATATCAAGCGCATCCCCACAAACTGGATGCAAGAAGCTCAAGATAGAAATAGGTGGAAATTTTTACGGGAGGCCTACGTTCAGCAGTAGACAAATATAGGCTAATTGATGATGATTATTTTTTTCGTATTTTGACATTCATATTTATGCATCAATTATCTAATAATTTATACAGGAGGAACAAATATAAGTTGGTAAATTTTGTTGCAAATAGCGTACTTATCTGAATAAAAATTGGAAATAAGTTAAAACTCAAAAAAATAGAGTACATATTATATTTAAAACAGACCTGTCATTGTAAAATATTACTTAACCCTAAACATCGTTCCCTCTTTGATTTTAGTTTCCGTTACTTAAAAGATGCACCCCAACGGATTGATACTCTGAAATTCTAACTGGTACCGAAACGGTAGAACATACTAGTAGAACGGTACGTTCTACGGTTACATCATAGACCAAGAGGAAACTATTAACCCCAAATATAATAGGGTTCTTCCTCATAAGAATGCGCCCTCATTCTTTGAGCCCCTGTCAGGGCTTGGTAAAACTCTAAATATTTTTAGCTGCTGCCTCCATTAGCTCCGATCCTGTGCCAGATGGACAGATTCCTGTACAGATTTTTTCACCGAAGCCTTCATTTGGTTTGCCCACCGTGTTGAAGATCTTCCTCTTGGTCTTTGGCCTTCTACCTTTCCTTTGACTACCAATAGTTCCATGGTCTCATTCTCCTAGCTATGTGACCGAAGTAATTTAGATATGCTCGGTTTAGTTTTTTTAATAGCCTAACTTTTATATTAAGCTCTTTCAGAATTGGCAGATTGGTTCTGTGTTCTGTTCAAAACACGCATAGAATTCTTTTGTAGACTCACATTTCAAAGACTTCGTTCTTAATTATATCAATATGTTTTAGCTGCGTATGTAGTAAAGAGAAAAATAGGGACATTGACCAACCTGAGCTTAGTATTCCTTGTTATTGTTTAGTTTTTCCATATTTTAATTAATGTGGCTGTTGCGGTTTGGGCGATTGCTAGTCTACACTTGATTTCTGATAAGGAATCGTTATTGTTGATTATCTGGAAGCCCAAGTATATAAATTTGTCTACTAATTATTTGCTTATTCATCTTAGCCGTTTGGTGATGGTAATCATTTCGACTTCATTCGCTACTAGTGTAAGTGTCTTTTTCTTTTTCTTCAGCCTTTATTTATCCATTGTTGGACATAGGCCTCCTCCAATTGCTTCCACGCTTCCCTATCCTTTGCAATTTTCATTCACTGTTTTCCAGCTACAGCTGTTATATCGTCTATCTATCTCTTTTTGGGCCTTCCTACTCTTCTTTTTGTTTCTCGTGGTCTCCGGAATGTCACTTTATAAGACCATCTGGTGTCCATTGGTGTCTTGTCTTACTACATGTGCTACCCATTGCCATCTCAATGTCGCTATTTTTCCCATGATGTCGGTTACTTTAGTTCTTCGACGTATTTCGGTGTTAGGAATTTTGTCTCTGAGGCTTATATTTAACATGGCCCTCTCCATGGCCCGTGGCCAGTGTAAGTGTATCACCTGCGTATTGCAGGTTACTAATTTTTCTGTCTCCTATAGTGATTCCTCCATCCCATGTGTCTAGTACTTTTCTCATTATATATTCAGAATATAATATGTTGTAAAATATTGGTGATAGTATGCAGCCCTGTCTAGTTCTTTTTTTTTTGTTTTAAACGCATTTGAATATATTCCATATATTTTATCTTAAGGTGTTTTTATCATACAGATTTCTTATTACATTAACTAGGTGGTTAGATACTTCCATATTTTTCATTATACTCTTTAGAGGGGATCCCATTTTATTGAATCGAAAGCTTTTGTGTAATCTACGAAACATAGCAGCATTGGTTATATTGTGTTTTCTTGCTTTGTGGTATTCAATGTCTTTTTCGGGTTCCTTTTCCTGGTACGGATCTGAATTGTTCTTGGGCTATCTCTGGATGGAAGTTTAAATGATTATATATAGCAGGATTTTGTTTGCATGGGGAAAAAGGACAATGGTTTTGTAATTTCTGCTCACGGTTAGTAACTTTATTGTTAGGGATCTATATCATGCTGCATATATCCAGCATTATATCTACGCTAATCTCGCCCATTGCTTTTAAACAATCCGCTGCTATGCCATCGATCCCTGTGGTTTTTTGTTTTAGTTGGTTAAGAGCCTTGTATACTTCTGCTCGTAAAATGATTGGTTCTGCCTCTCCACTTGCATGTTTTTCGTGTTCTGAGACCGATGTGAAGTCTTTGTATATTTTTGAGAAGTAATTTTTCCAGGTCTCTGCAATGCTCTGTAGGTTTTACGTCTTTATTATCGTCCTGAATCGTTTAAAGTTGTTGCTTGAACTCGAGCCAAATATTTAACTTCAAGGAGTTCATGACTTTTATGGCGGTTTGTATGTTGCTCCAGTTCTTGACACACGTTATTTATATGAATGATTTTTTCTGATGCACATACATTTTATTTTTCTGCTTAGCTCCGCTTTGTTGAGTGTTGCTTTCTGTTCATACATACGAATGTAGCTATATGCAAAATTTTAACCAGGACTAAGACTCTTTCTTCAGAAGAGAAAAAAGAATAACAATATGAGCTGAAGAGTAAACAAAAGTTTAATTTGTAATAATAAAACACTGAAAACTTTGTTTTCAAACTTCCACAAAATTTATTTTAAATCTTATCACTACGGCTGTTTCGGCTGATTTCCTTTCTCAAGTGATCTATTTTTGGCTTGGGTTTACAAATTTATACTCTCTAATGAAATAGGTTGAGGAGGGGAGAACTGTTTGTCTCAAGTTGGTCATTCAGAATTATATCTGTGTTTTTTAATTTGTTGATTTCCATAGATTCTAACAAGATAGCTTAAGGCCTTTATTTTGAATGTGAAGAATTTTAAATTTATCATTAAAAGAATGATTATGATCTAGAAGGTGAAGTGCGTATGTCGAATCTGTTTTTCTATTCTTGAAGAACAGTGCAGGACTTATAATGGGTAATCCTCTAAGCCCATTGCTATCAGATATTTGTATGGATCATCTAGAGACAAAGATTTCAAAACATCCCGTATTCAAACAGTTTTTATATTGGTAGAGATACGTAGACGACGTACTGGTATGTTTAACAAGAACTAACAGGCAACTCGACCAATTTTTATCGTATATTAATTCACTTCATAGTCATATTGAATTTACAATAGAAACAAAACAAAATCAATCCATAAATTTTTTAGATTTAAAAATTAGCAGACTTCAAAACAAACATGACTTCTCCATATTTCATAAACCTACCCATACTGACACGACTATACACAATTCATCATCCAATCCAACACAACATAAACTGGCAGCTTATCATAGTATGTTACATAGATTAACAGAAATTCTGATGTCAAAATACAACTTTGAGAATTAAATATAATTAAGCAAATAGCAGTAAACAACGGATACAATGAACAAACAATTAATAAAATGTTAAATCAAAAACTACACAAAAAAGCCCTGAAATTAGTATTTCTACCACCAGAGAAAAAACCCAGTACCTTCTGCTCGATTACATATACAGGCAAAATAACAACAAAAATTGCCAAACACATAAAAAAGAAGAGAATAACACCAGCGTTCCGAACAAATAACAACCTAGGCAAATATATTAAAAATAACAAGAGCCAAAATACAAAAAACACTTAAATAGTGGTGTGTACAAACTTCAATGTGGCGACTGCCCAAAAACTTACATCGGTCAAACTGGTAGAAACTTTGATAAACGAATAGCAGAACATAAAAGGGCTTTCAAGAATAGAAAAACAGATTCGACATACGCACTTCACCTTCTAGATCATAATCATTCTTTTAATGACAAATTTAAAATTCTTCACATTCAAAATAAAGGCCTTAAGCTATCTTTGTTAGAATCTATGGAAATCAACAAATTAAAAAACACAGATATAATTCTGAATGACCAACTTGAGACAAACAGTTCTCCCCTCCTCAACCTATTTCATTAGAGACTATAAATTTGTAAACCCAAGCCAAAAATAGATCACTTAAGAAAGGCAATCAGCCGAAACAGTTGTAGTGATAAGATTTAAAATAAATTTTGTGGAAGTTTGAAAACAAAATTTTCAGTGTTTTATTGTTACATAAAATGAATTTCCATCAAGTAACGGTCGAATCCATCAATTATTTAAAAGTTTAATTACATTATATATATATATATATATATATATATATATATTTATATAATATATATATATATATATATATATTTATATATATATATATATATATATATTTATATATATATATATATATATATATATATATATATACAGATTGAACGAATTTAAAACGGATCTTACCATTTAATATATGTCTGTTTGAACTGCATTTGAAATAGTGGACCAATATAAAACTTGGACAAAAATAAATCCATACCTGGGTTTCTATATTGTATAAAATATCGTTCAACTATCTGTCTCGCAAGAATGTTGTTTGCGTAACAATGTTGCCAATCGCCGTGTAATAATCCGATTTGCGGATCTTTTTGAGAGTTATATCTTCTTCGTATCTTTAAATAAATCGGATATTTGCCTATATTTTTCATTGTATTTACCAATCTACTACAATAGACTAACAACAAAAATAAACTTAATGGATTGTAGTCTTGTAAATGTTTTATGGATAAACCTTATTTGAGAAACATCTCAAGGAATGAGGTTGACAACACCGCTCAAAGAAGGGCTTGTCTAAAGTAGCGATAACTGGTTTGACAGCATAATAAAATCGTAGCTTTATGTGTAGCTTTCAATTTTTATGATTTCAGAATCCAGCAGCCCGCTGAAGTATTTAATTTTTATAATATAATTA